ACCCTTGCGGGTTGTCATAGCAATAAGTACTTACCTAATGGAACGTGTATTGTTGTGACTTGCATTTGAAATAAATAAATGTATAAAATATATATATAGTAAAATGAATTTACAAAATAAGACCGCAAATTAATATGTGAAATTAAAACAAATATTTTATACGCTCTGATATGAGGAGTCTGAATAATAGGAAATGAAACTATTTTTCCGGATTTAAATCGCGTATATTTGTTTTTTCAAACAAACCGACGTTTCGGGCCCTTTACAGGTCCCATGGTCACGGTTGACTGACAGTCAACCGAATCAAATATACGCGATTTAAATCCGGAAAAATAGTTTCATTTCCTATGTGTAACAATCGCGAAAACCTAAGAGTCTGAATAATCCCAAAATTTCAATAGGGCACCCCTGAAAGCCCGAACTGAAGGTGACTGTCTGACCTGTACTGGGAGGAGGTTCCACATACGAGCAGCATTCACTGTGAATGATTCAGATTATTTTTGTGAACTATGTTGTGGAATGACAAGTGACAAATTAGTATCTGATCGCAGGCGATCACAGCCTGACGATATTGGAAACGCTCACGAAGATAAATAGGGGATATTGTTTTACATAGGTGGAACTAAACCGCGTGCCAGCCGGATGCTGGGCTTTAATCGAGGGCATCGACCAGCCTATCGTGAAGACCTGCACGCTGGTCGCGGCCGAGGAAGACGAGGAGCTGCACATCTTTAGACCTTTGCGGTTCAATACGCAAGCTGTGGTGAAGATTGCCGTGGAACCTGTTAACCCGTCTGAGTTGCCCAAAATGCTCGACGGACTTAGAAAGGTGAGATTTATGTACAAGTGAATACATTTTTGCTTATGTACAGTGAATTGTTTTTAATTAATCCAGAGAAGTAACGATTAACCTTAACAAAAACCGTAATTATAAGGTTTGAATTTAAGTGAACGCTTTTCGGCCACCACTCGGAAGTTCACCGAGTTATCGGCGACCATTTTTGCCAATGAAGCGAACTTTTATGAATGTGTATTTAGAATTGAGCGCGTTGGTTTTGAATTCCGAATTAATTTTTTTGCCGGCTTTACTTGGATCCGTTGTGATTGGCTGAGATCAATTGGTTACTATTGCATACGACCAGAAATAGAGACGAAATGTCATCTAATTTGTAGTAAAACTATTCTGCCATATCATTACGATGACAATGGTGATTTTCCAGCCTGAATTCGAAACAATTGACGAGTGTCGCTAATTGTTTCACGTTAAATCTACCAGTTTAACTTAAACTTCGCTGTAATAGACGAAAATTGAAAAATAACAATTTAATATTTAATTACCGATGAAATTTGATTCCGTTTGTTTTGGAATTAGATATTTTGCTGTTTTTCCCACACCACCGAATGGAACTGCCCCCCATTGTTAGAGATATTATCTTTATTACAATAAATACAGAATATTTTTGGAATATACGGATACGTACACACAGGTCAGTTGTTGGCGCTGTACTGTTTCAGTGCAAACGTGATGTCTTCACCAGGTCCATTTGCCTGATGGATGGATTATTTTGTCTCTATTTCTGGTTATATACTCAATGTGCGTGTATTATTAAATATTTAGGAATTTTTGAACTGCCTCCTAACTGCTTCTTAATTATTTCGCCTCTGTGGCCGAACGATTACCATTTTGGACTGCCACGTAGAGATCCCAGGTTCGATTCCCGGGCATTTATTTTTCTAGTGAGTTTGGGTGTATTTGTAGTAGTCTATGGCACCCGCGATACAGGGTTTCCCTATCGAAGGGCCATCGAGCTGTATTCATACAGACGTTCACACCTCGCCACTGTTATTTACTTACCTATTTTTGTCACCAAGCAGTAAAGTAAGCATTACAGGGTTTCGGTTTTGAAGGGTAAATGTGGTGGTGAAATTACAGGCACATGGGACTTGTCAACTTATGTCTCAGGGTGACGGGCGCAGTGGCAGTGTCTCTGTCTCTGGATCTTTGCAATTTAAAGCTCTGAGTGGTAAAATTTTTACACTTGAAAACGTCGTTTTTAAAGCTACTGCTCGTTCACTACGCTGACCTCCCTGAGAATAACAAGCAAGCAACTCGAATACACTTTGAGTCATAATTGTGTGGAATCAAGACTCAAGCTGTCTTTCCATACATCTTTATCTAACAAATACTCTTCAATTTTGTAATATGACTTTTCAATTAAATTTACTTTAAATGTAAGTTTTAAACTTAGGAAATGATAATCTTAATACATACTCAGGAATCTTATCGTAAGAACGTATACAGTTCCCCATAAAAGAATCGTTTATCTTAGTTAAACGAATAAATATTAATTATTTCATTTTTAAAAAGACTAGTAAATATTAATTATTTCATTGTTAAAAAGACTTTTGAAGAATTACCAAACTTCGTGCTTGTACCTTGACGTTATCAGCGAATTAACGTTTCACGCGTGGCGATATTTTTGTTTCCGAGTCTTTAAAGTTTTTCATTGTATTATTGCGAATAGCTGGTGCTAACAGATGTATTTGATAACAGGTGAACAAATCATACCCGTTGTTGTCCACACGCGTTGAAGAGAGCGGCGAACACGTGATACTGGGCACTGGAGAGCTCTACCTCGATTGCGTTATGCACGATCTTAGGAACATGTACTCCGAGATAGACATTAAAGGTATTATAATATAAAATATAGAAATATTTTTGTTATTGTTATTGATACGAAGATTAAACAAACACGAAGAAAAACTCCTTCGATCAGTGTGAATTCGAACCAGCGTCTGTCGCCTCGACGTGGCTACTAATTAAAGGTAATTTTTAGTAATAGTATCTTTATATTTGTATTTTTTTTATAATATTAATTGACGGGACGAATAAGTTGCGCCTGATGGTAAGCTGCACGCCTGTCCATAACAGTTGCAGTGCCACTCGGAGCTTTAAATCGCAAAGATCTGAGGGTCACTGCCACTGCGCCCGTCACCCTGAGACATAAGTTGACAAGTCCCATGTGCCTGTAATTTCACCAGCACTCTTACCCTTCAAAACTGGAACACAGTAATGCTAACATTACTGCTTGGCAGCAGAAATAGGTAAGGTGGCAGTACTTCCCTAGACGAACTCTTTCTCAAGGAGCTCTACTGCTACAAGAAACAGAAAGATTGTATGAAAACTAGCTCTACGTAACTATTTTACTCGGATATACAGGCTATTTGTAAGAGCGATGGTAGCCCATTGGGGGGAATTATTGAATTTAATTTGTTACTATAGTCTGCCTTTTTTGAAGACGGAGGAAAATGACAGTTTATTGCGTAAAAGTGTTGCCCACTTGCGAGCAGCTAGTGATTGCAGTCGATAAATATTATATCGACTATCGACTCAACGTTGGTTACGCTTATGAAATAAACTGACGAAATTGTTTAATTTGATTAATCATCGGCCCATTATACGTGCTAATGCTGGGCACAGGTTCATTTGAACTGTTGATTTTTGAAAATTCATTCATACATACACCAAATTTAAAAGTACGTGTATTAAAATATAAATAGGAGACATATTTTATAGTTTTTAGTTTTCATTTAATACACAATCACATCGGCATGTCGTTATTAAAATGTGTAGGTACAACTGAAAATTTATTTTGATACTAATACCTACTGTAGAAATAAGAATAAAGAATGCAATAATGCAATTAGTAATATTAACACTTAACATTCAGAAAAAATATATAGTAAAATTGAGGACATACACCATTGACTTACAATTATATGGACGTCGGGTCGGCGCTAAAAAGTGTCCAAACTTATAGGGCGTTAAAGTCGCTTTGTTTGTTAATAAGACTTTATTTGTTAATTTCTGAGTACACTGAACACTTCTGAGAAATTTTCATAGTATTTTACGCTTTAACTACTAACCACTTTGTATATTCACTTTATTAAGAAACAAAACATATATAAAGATGACAAGCATTTAAATACCTATCGATTAACACTAGATTCATATGAAAATAAAGTGTAACTATTTTTAAAATAAAAATAAAAACAGTCGCGGGTAGCGACGAAAATCGCGGAAATTTGCGAAAATGGCGTAAAAAAACTGTAAGTCGCGAGGAAGAAAATTGACGAATCCTATCACAACTCACAATGTAACGACCTAAAAAGCTTTTAATACAGCCTATATTTAATAAAGTTATGTGTTTAAACATTGACTTACAATTATATGGACGTCGTCGGGTCCGCGCTAAAAAGTGTCCGAACTTAGGTATAGGGTGTTAAAATCGTATACAGAGCGTCATTCACGCTTTAGTCTTCGTTTGTTCGACTGACAGCGAAGCAAGCAAAATTAGACAGTACTGCGATGACATTACAATTTAAATTCAACGTATTAGCTTTTTCATATTCCTTTACATGTCACTACGTTTAAATAGGTTGACTTGGGACATTTTTTTCGTGGTTTTTGCATTAGACCCGTCGTCCATTTATTTGTAAGTCAATGACATACACGGAATACTATACGGTGTGAAAACACGATTCCTATAAATTTTCACAATAGAAAAAAAAACACAAATGTTTTTTTTATATCAACTGTACTAAATAGTACACCTATAGTATACGATATACATATTTCAAATGGTCTTCCTTTCGTTTGTAAAAAAATGAATTCTGGAATAAAGCCAGCGTCCCGCATTAAGTTGGAAAAAAAATAATTAAGTAAATAATGATAAAAATATTGTGCGTAAATTACTAATTGAAAGTCGGTTCTTCCAGTGGCAGACCCCGTAGTCTCATTTTGCGAGACAGTAGTGGAGACGTCGTCTCTGAAATGCTTCGCTGAAACTCCCAACAAGCGCAACAAGCTGACGATGATCGCCGAGCCGCTCGAACGCGGGCTCGCCGAAGACATCGAGGCGGGGGCTGTTTGCGTCACTTGGGACAGGAAGCGGCTGGGCGAGTTTTTCCAGACCAAGTGAGATTCTTTTTATTTATGTATTTGCATTTCACATAGTCTTAAGTGTTTTTAGTACACAAACTTAGAACTATAGTAGAAACTACATGATTTAATATACCTTTTAACCATGGTATTATAAATTAGAGTTTTATCGTATTACGTTCATAAATTTTTCCACTATACAATTGTTAATTAGTTTAAGTCTTAATATTCATAATTTTAGAGTAATAACATTTTTATCGAACAGTGTTGTCGTTAATGAATAATAACTCAGATAATAAAATATAAAAGTTAATTAACTTCTAAATCTTAATCTTATATCTATATAGGACAATGTTGGGTCCAATTTGTATTTCGACCTCTCCTACGTAAAGTATCATATGTCGAAATTGTTAAGTTTACAGGGGAGCGTATTAAAGTTCTGAATTCACTGAAAGAGTGATCATCCAATAGATCATCTAACCAATATCTAGGATCTTATAACACTCTATGTGAGTAACGGGCTTTGCCGAATATAACTGAAGTCGGCCGCAGTGATGAGGGGATGCATAGGCCCTGAATGAAGCCACCCTAATAAAAAAAAAAACCAAAGAACGTTCCAATTTATGCTTCAAACGTGTTGCAAAATATTTAGTTTAAATATGAATTTTTACTAAATTAAATTTATAAGTTAATATGTTTCTCTGTGGCCTCATGTAAATGAATTATTTGTAATTTTTGTGAGAATAATAAATAATAATGAAATTATTTATTAGACAATATGTTTTAAACCATTACCTGAAAGAGCTAGACGCTACATTATCGGAATCTATATATAATAAATTACCATTAAGTACATTAAAAAGTCGTTGAAAAACCAAATACAAAACTCCGTCCGCTGGTTCGTTTCGTGGCTTAGTTGGTATAGCGTCTGGCACGGTAAGCTAGAAGACGTCGGTTCGAATCCGGCAGTGTTCAATCTTTGTATTAATAATTGTAACAAACTAGTGGAGTAATTTCACAAAAAATAATTGAATATCAATTCAATAAAAATTTAAAATACCATTAAGTAGTTTAAAGTTCTTGTTTTCACTGTAGTCTTACACCTTGTAAATGCCACATTTTAGATATCAAAAGGAATAGAAACATATATTGTGCCAATGAACTTGTTACGTTATTAAGAACAGTCGGCTTATTTTTGCTCCTTGTATTAACGTTATGTCATTTTTACGTTTATAATTTTACATTAAAAATTACTACTCTTTGTATAATATATCGTTCCCTTTATAATACCGACCCCTCCTACGTAAAGTATCGTATGTCGAAATTGCCAAGTTTACAGGGGAGCGTTTTAAAGTTTTAAATTCACTGAAATTAGCATAACACGTGACTTTAGCATTTCTCAGTTTTATTTGGCAAAGCTCGTTACTCACATAGAGTATTATAAAATCCTAGATATCGGTTAGATGAACAATATTTTATAATTTTTGTACTGTCACCTGACCCGCTCAGTCTCACTTTAGTTTATCTGCTTGGTGACCCACATCTCCGTTAGTATAAAATTATAAAATCGATTGTGGTTGTTCATCTAACCGATATCTAGGATTTTATAACAATCTATGTGAGTAACAAGCTTTGCCGAATAAAACTGAGAAATGCTAAAGTCACATGTTACGCTCATTTCAGTGAATTCAGAACTGTAAAACGCTCCCCTGTAAACTTGGCAATGTCGACATACGATACTTTACGTAGGAGGAGTCGATACGTCAAAGGAGCTTTTATCACATGAAGCATATAAAAATAATGCGAACAACATGAAACTAAATGATGTAACATTCAATATCATCGATATTAAATATTATTAAGAAATTGCCTCGGCTCGACAATCTTAAGAAAACGTTGTTTTTAGATATGACTGGGATTTGCTGGCAGCCCGATCGATCTGGGCTTTCGGGCCGGACGCTACGGGCCCCAACATTCTCGTCGACGACACACTGCCCTCCGAGGTCGATAAACACTTGTTGGCTTCCGTGAAGGACAGCATTGTACAAGGTAATGTGCTGTAGCCGTATATTCGGTATTTATTTCTTATCTTGAACTAAGTTTACAAATTTGTAAATGTTGGTATCATTTTCGAAGAATTTCTATTTTGCTCAGTGTTGCCATTTAATTCAGTACTTTCACTAATTATCTGTCACGCTTATAAATGTTAGTATTGCTTTCGATGGAATACTCATTTTCAGAATTTCGCGGTGGCATTAATATTTTGTCTATTGAGCTCAGTGTTGCCATTTAAATGTTTCTATCTCGATATCACCAGTGAACACTACGGCAACTTAATTTTTAGTGTCATTTTCTGTTTTTTAATGTAAACAGCCTTATTTTATTTACTAATAGTATGCATCCCGAATTTTGTGAAAAAAAAATAAGGAAACGAGAAACAACATTCGAAAAAAAATAGAAAAACCAATTTCGTGAAAAAATTCTGGAGATATCGACCTATCAAACTTATAAATGTTCGATAGAAATCTGATTTTGAAAATTTCCCGGTAAAATCCATATTATATCATATCTGTTACACTATTGATTGTCATGTACTAGAAAAAGTAACTACTTTTGACATTTAAACTTTAAAAGGCAACACTGGCAAAAGCTTGACACGTAATTAATAGAAGAAGTAGTTTCGGAGTTGCTTTTTAAATCACTGTTTCTTAAAATTGTTTGTCACACTTTTGACTGCCACGTAGGCAGTCAACAGAGTTTTAAGTGGCAATCCACTTTCCATTCGAGAAACATATCCAATCGAACGACTCAGTTAAAAAAACACTGTCATACAGTTTTATTAACATTACATTGAGCACAAAAAAGCCATCTATCCCTGGCAACTCATCAGCCAAATGTGGATATAAGGCGATATAACTTTTAAATATCATCTCTCGTTTGCCCTGAATTAGAAAGCGGAAATAGTACAGCGCCAACAACTGACCTGCATGTACGTCTCCGTATATTCCATAAATATTCTGTATTTATTGTAATAAATATAGTATCTCTAACAATGTTTTCCATTGTTGTTCCATTCGGTGGTGTGGGAAAAACAGCAAAACATCTAGTTACAAAACAAACGTAATCACATTTCATCAATTGACGACACCCGTCAATTGTTCTTAATATTATGTTACGTAATTTCATGATACCATGCAATTGTATTGGCTCAATGAAGGTTATTATTTATTGAGATTGTCTGTAAAATAATTCCACTAGTTTTGTTATGACTGCGAATGTAAATATCGAACGCACAGAAAATTTTTCGTCGACCCGAAGGGACTTGGAACCCACGTCTATGCTGCGTAGCATTGGTCTTACCATCTGAGCTACGGGTCCAGATTCCGAGTCGTCAAAATACTCCTATGTGTTTTTGTTATATTTTTATTTTATTTATTAGATGTACAAAACAGTTTACATTCACTCCTTAACCAAAGCTTAAACATTACTACTAGTTCTACTCTTGAATGTAAACCTAAACATGTACATACAGCATGAAATATAAATCGTTTCTAAATTAATATAAAATACTTAGGCATAAATAAAACTGTAACCTTAAATAAAATAGAATTACTATGACTATAACCATGAAAGAGAGAAACCGTGGTGGTTGTGGATTCGATTGCGAAATCTTTTAACATTACCATCAAATATATCCATCCCTAAATCATCGCCAGGGTCAGCCATAAGGTCATTGTAGGCCCGACACATTCTCGTTAAAGGGTTGTAAAAAGAAGTATTATTAGTATAAACATTCAATACGAATGGTCTAGGAAGGCCACGACGCCTTCCTTCACTTGCACTTGATGTTACAATTAATATGGGACAGAAGCGTCGACGATTTAAGGCTGCCGTGAAGTAATTTATGTAAATGTAGAAGATCCTGTGCCCTACGTCTAGAATTCAAGGACTACTTATAGATATTTGTACTGACTTTTCGACATTCGTCGCCGCTAGTAACATCTAGTAAGAGCTTTTTGAATAACCTCTCACCGCAGCCGATATCTTTACAGGTATCATGCACTTTTCTTATAACTCTCTTAAGCAGCTTCAATTTTTCTTGCCCTTCAAAAACAAGGTAATGCTTGCTCAGTCCTTACTACTTCCTCGTCTTGACTATGCTGATGTTTGTTATTTGGGTGCAACTGAGGAGCTGCTTAACAAACTGGAGTGCCTATAGAATTTGGCAATACGTTTTATGTTTGGTCTGCGTAAATATGACCATATTTCTGAATTTCGATCTAAATTAAAATGGCTCCCTGTCCAACTTCGCAGAGATTTGCACATCCTTTGTCTTCTATACAAAATCCTACACTACCGTCAGCCCCCTAACTATCTACGCTCCCGTTTTACTCACTTACCCCCCACTTGTCGCCCAAAACGAACTTGTGACACTAGAACACTTATATCCCCAATCCAATTCCAATTTTTACCACTATTCTTTTACAGTTAGTGCAGCTCGTATGTGAAATAAATTACCTGCTGACATTCGTCACAGTTCAACTGGTGCATCGTTGAAACGCAAATTAAAATAGCATTTCCTCTTAAGCTCGGAAGTTAATCAGGAACATAGATATAAAATAATAATTTGTTTTGATAATAATATATATATTGTGTATGTATGTATTTATGTAGGTATATGTAAAGTTTGTGTAGGTTTAGACCTCGGCAATATTATTATTGTCGTTATTCATAATTATATTTACATCTGAATTTTAATAAATATATTGTCTATGTCCTTTTTGTAACTTGTGATTTTCAATGTCGTTTATTTGTGTAATGATTTGATTGTGGAATTCAATATCACAACTGACGCAAATGTTGCTTTTCGATCAAATGTATTTGTTGAGAAGGTGCAGCATGGACGTGGGTTCAAGTCTCACCGCGTCGACGTAAAGATTATTATTGTTAATACCGAAGAGTTCTGAAGCTTCTGTATAGAGAACGTTCATGCCACGGGCTTTGTTTGGTATTAAGTGGGTTGCCGAATTAGTTCTGGCAATTTAAGTAAGTCGCAGACGTCTATATTGAGAATTGTATTTATTGTTCCAGGCTTCCAATGGGGCACGCGAGAAGGTCCGCTTTGTGAGGAACCAATTCGCAACGTCAAGTTCAAGATTTTGGATGCGGTGATAGCACAAGAGCCACTACACAGGGGCGGAGGGCAAATCATCCCGACTGCTAGACGTGTAAATTATTTTTTCATTGTAACATGACTACGACCACATTATAGATAATACACAGTAGTTAACTGCCTCTGTGGTCGAACGGTTATCATGTTGGTTTGCCACGCTGAGGTCGCAGGTGCGATTCCCGGGACGGGAGAAATATGTGTACGGTCTACATTTATTTCTCTCCTGACTTTGAGTGTAATTTGTGGTCACCTATGAATGTGCATCCGCGATACAGGGTTTCCCTAATACGGTGCTATGAGTGAATTATATAATTTAATGAGTGTTAACGGGATTACGTCATTGACCTACCAACAAATGGACGTCGGGTCTAATACAAAAACCACGAAAAAAATGTCCGAAGTTAACCTATACAAACGTAGTGATATGTAACGAAATATAAAAAAACTAAAACATTTAATTTAAATTGTAACGTCATTGCAGTACTGCCTAATTTAGCTTGCAACAATTTAAAGGGCCCGAAAACACCATATTCAGCTTTTACTGGAAGCGCCCGAAAACACTATATTCAGCTTCTACTGGAAGCTTAACAAAATGCACCATATTTAGCTTCGACTGAAAATTACTTGAACACAAGAGTAATGGAGTAGCCTTTATTGTAAATACCAATTAATTTTTATGTATATTATTATGTCGAATTTTGTACAAATTCACTTCAAGAAATAATAAAGAGTTGGGCAGATACACACATACAAATATTACAAATGTGAAAATAAGCGTGTACTATAAGAAATGTACCGATATTCCAACTAAACGTAAACTCAAATATCCGTAATTCCGAAAACCGATTTATAATAAAACCGTTACGCTTTAAAGTAATTTTGATGCTTCTCACAAAGCCAAAATTAGCTTTTGTTTTGTAATATTCCTAAAACATACATTTGACATTACGAAAATTCTAGCTAATGTTATTTCGGGCAAATGTATTTTCTGACTTCTGATATGTAATCCCAAGCTGTAAAACGAGTACAACAATATTTTGTTAGTTAATGCTAACGTTTAATAAAAAGTCACTTTAACAATAAGATTAACATCAACACGACTCTATAGGTTCTTTGTACCAAATATTTCAATCGCCTATGGTTCTAACAATTGAAAATGACCAAGAAGTTTATACAAGCTTCTTGAAATTGACGTAATGGGTCTCTTTCCATCTTTTGCGCATGCAATGTGTAGAAAAAGGACAGTTAGCTATTTGGTTATTTTGTTTGCTTTTGTAATTTATATTTACGATAAATTTTTATATAAATTAAATACTATAAAACTGTACAAAATAACACCTTTAAATGAGAACTATGATAACACAATATATTTGTTTAGTGAAAATATGATACAAAATCCTGTTCACTGCAGTAATTTTTACAAGTTATAGGTGGCGGACATTTGTTAGCGCGAACCCGACGTCCATTTGTTCGTAGGTCAATGGATTACGTACGTAATCCAAAGTGGTATCAGAAGACAGCAGCAAGATTAATTGTTATAGGTGGCGTATTCAGCGTTTTTGATGGCGACACCTCGGCTGATGGAGCCTTACCTGTTCGTGGAAGTACAAGCTCCAGCTGACTGCGTCTCAGCCGTGTACACTGTTCTTGCTAAGAGAAGGGGTATGTTTTCATGAAATCAGGAAGTATATTGGTTTCTTCTCTTTACCAGAACACTATACGTAGGGGACATACGTTGTCAGGCAACAAAGGGCTCATTGATGATTGTCTTTATCCATGACTGCCGTGAACTACATTACAGAAATATGCTAATACGTTTTTGTCGCTGCAACAAAACGACTATTAGATAAAATTAGGTATATTCGAACTTCTTTCAATTCCCGTTGCAAACTATAAATGTCCCATTTTGCAGGGTACACTCTAACCAGATGGTTTTTAGTCCATAGTACACCATGTTAGATGTAATTGCTAATTAGGGGAGGGCTTTTAGTCCATAGCCCGATACGTTGGATGTAATGTTGGCTGGGGAGGCGTTTAGTCCACTACGTCGGATGTAATGCTGGTTGGGGGAGGACTTTTAGTCCACTACGTCGGATGTAATTGCTAATTAGGGGAGGACTTTTAGTCCATAGTCCAATATATTGGATGTAACGTTGGCTGGGGAGGTTTTTAGCCCACTACGTCGGATGTAATGCTGGTTGGGGGAGGACTTTTAGTCCGCTACGTCGGATGTAATTGCTAATTAGGGGAGGGCTTTTAGTCCATAGTCCATTATGTTGGTTGTAATGTCGGCTGGGGGAGGCTTTTAGTCCATGGTCCACTACATCCGATGTAATACTGGTTGGGAGAGTATTTTTACTCCATAGCCCACCATGTTGGATGCAATGTGGGTCGAGTGAGGGTTTTTAATCCTCTTTCCACCACGTTGGATGCAGTGCTAGTGGGGGATTTCAGTTTTGTCTATCATGTGTGTCCACCCTTGTAATCTTATAACACGTGGTATTAATGGGGTAATATCAAAATGGAATGGACGTTTGTTACTCCATCGTATCGTAACGTCATATTGAATTTGGATGACATTTTGTGGATAGATAGCTTATAACCTGGAATGGGATATAGGGAGCTTTTAACGACTTTAAGACGTCGCAAGATAAGGCTAGTTTTATTAGTCTATCAACTGTAAAGTTTATATAATGTTTTTCATTTTAATAGGCCACGTGACACAAGACGCACCCGTGCCCGGGTCCCCCCTCTATACGATAAAGGCGTTTGTGCCCGCGATCGATTCGTTCGGCTTCGAAACTGACCTGCGCACGCACACGCAGGGCCAAGCGTTCTGCCTGCAAGTGTTCCATCATTGGCAGATCGTGCCTGGAGATCCGCTGGACAAGAGTATTGTAATTAGGTATGGAATTTTACTTAATTTTGATTGCGTTTGAATTTGGTGTCCCGTTTTTGTTCATTAGTTATTATTAAAGAAAATTTGAGTACTTGAATGGCTTATCTTCACATTTTTCAAGGTGGTGAATTATGCACAAAGATGGCAAGTTTTTTTGGAATTCGAAGTGTTGTAATTAACAAAAAAAATAATTAATTGTCCTTGTAATAAAATTTTGTTACATAGAATAAATAAGACATTCGGACGGCCACGGTGTGCCGATGTGAGAGTGCTCTTAAAAAGTTAGGAGTGCATAGTGAGAAAAATGGAGGTCTTGTATGAAAAGATTCCTGGATATAAGTGACGCAAGATAGGCTTGCCAGGATGGTGCAGTGTCGATCGATAATCTCGTGAGTATATCTATGTATTAAAATATTGTTCCCAGACCACTGGAGCCACAGCCAGCAACTCACTTAGCGCGCGAGTTTATGATCAAGACGCGCCGGCGCAAGGGACTCAGCGAGGATGTCTCCATCAACAAGTTCTTCGACGATCCTATGTTGCTCGAGCTCGCCAGACAAGACGTACAATTAAATTAATATTGCTTATATATAATGTGTTTATTTAGTTTCATTCCAAATAAAATAATTTTAACATATACTTTGTCTAATATCTACACATTTACAACCACGTTTTACCGCTATAACAACGATAATAAGTGACTTCGGAACTATGCGAAGAACGCCCGAATTTCCGCTAAGCGATATTAATACAACTTGTTGAAATATCTAGTGTTGGGCCATGGAAAAATGTCCATTTTCAAAAAAATCATATTCTACAGAAAAACTAATATTTTTTCCGGATATTTTTCCAATACGTTTCTTTTAATTTTCTATATTTGACTTTGACACCTTGTAGTTACTGTACGAAAAAGATGTAGACATTTTACAGGTTTTTTTTTGTTGTCCATTGTCCAATAATTTTAAATCTCGTTTAGCTATATAATTTTATTTTACAATTCACGCTAATTATAACTTCAAAAGATATTTCTAAACGGAGAACATAATATGGGTCTTCGAATTATATTATTCCGTTTTTCAGACATATTTCCGGGAAAGTAGCCAGTAATTCAAAATTGTCGGAAAAGTTACCCAACAGTAGTGTTGGGTTATGGAAAAATTAAATTTTTCCGGATATTTTTCCGTAATTTTCCACATTTGACGTTGGCACATGTCAAAAGTTGAAATTGGGTACTGAACGAAAACGATGTAGCCAACGAGTGGCGATGACAACCACAACCACATTGTTGGAGGTTTTTTCGCTGTTGTGAAATAATTTTAAATCTCGTTTTTCTTTAAGTGACTTTTATCTAAGTTTATTTCGAAATTCACGCTAAATAAAACTTTAAACGATATTTCGAAACATAGAACATAACGTGAGCCTTCCAAATAATATTTTTCAAGATTTTCGGGATTTTTTCCGGAAAAATTTCACTATTTAAATTTTTTTTGAAAATTACCTTACATTAGCCGTGACCGTAGCTATTATAAGTTTCTACGTTTTGAAATGGCTCAAACACTTGCCGTGAAGTGCTATGTTAAGAAAAACTGTCTATTCTATAATAGAGGTGGGCGTTTAAACCAAAAGCGCTTAAAATTACCGCTTTTTAAAATAAGCATAAGCACGCTCTTCATTTTAAGCGTAAGCGTTGGTCACTGGTTAGTTCTATAGATTGAACATAATCGATATACAACAGATAGACAATTCAACATAACGTTGCAAGCTTTTTTAAACATAAAGTATGCGCTTAAACGTTTTTCTAAACGATTTTTTAAGCGTCAAACTAAAAAGCATTTAGGTAAAAAGCGCTTTTACAAGCACGCTTTTTAAATGTACATTTTAACGTTAATAAAATAAGCAGTTTTTTTACATTTCAACGGTTAACAACTACAAAAGTTAAACAACTTATGTTTTTAAACGCCAATGAACAAAATGTTAATATAGGTAATAATGTTATGTCATAAATAAAAATATAACTGGTTTTTTTACAATTAAACTTACTTATCTTAAAACCTTTAGTGGTCTACGCTTGCGTTTCGCTATCAACACAACAACGTTGCAAGCTTTTTTTAACATAAAAGTCTATGCGCTTAAACGTTTTGTTAGCTTCAAACTAAAAAAGCGTTTCAAGTGAAAAAGTGTTTAAAAAGCACGCTTTTTTTAAAAAAGCATAACGTTTAAAAAAATGAGCAGTTTTCCCATCTCTATTCTATAAGTTGACGTAAACTGTCAACTTGTCAGTGACAAGCAGTGTTGCTGTTCTAGCACATTTGTCGCTAGATCTAGGGGATTTTATGCATGTTTAGCGGGAAAAATAAGGTTTTAGCGAGAAAAAAATATTTAGCTACTTCTAGCGTCTTTTTGACCGCTAGGCTCTTTTCAGACACAAAAATTATAACCTGTATCAAATACGGTAAATTAGTAATATTCGGCCAATTTTCTAGTCTAACGATGGTAACACTAACGTAGAATCGGACTGATCGATAACGGTCTGTAATAAACAAAACAACATCCATTCGTTCGTTTGATGCCTTTCTCGCTCGTTACGATTAGGAATGGGGAAGACAAAAACCTATTGATTGAAATTTTTTCACTCACAGAATGAGATGAATGTGATTTTTTTTTTTTTGTTGTGTTCAAAACTAAATTAAAATGAGTGCTTTTTGGTTCATATTTGCAATTTTATTTACTGTTGTATTTTGTGACTCAAATTCGATTTTCAAATAAGCATGGAAGTACCGCCAAGTCTAGAGACATCCAGCGGATTTTAGGAAATTATTTTTACCCAAATCTAGCGGAAAATCTCTGACCATCTAGGGACTTTCAATTATGTACAACGGCAACACTGGTGATAAGTATCATAACAAATTCGGCTGAAGGACTTTGTTTCCATGGCCAGCAATAAATTAAAAAAAAAAGTATCATAACAAATACACATGTGTTGTTGCATGGTACATTTTACAATTTTGTTCAAAATTAGCATTAAATTTGCGTTATAACCATTTTAATCAATCGGTTATCTGTTTTAAATACGGAAAAATTATTTAATCGCAATGGCGCGCGGTAAAGACAAAAAGAAGTAAGTGAGGTTATATTCTACTTTATTTTTTATTTATCATATTTCAAATTTTTATATGAAATCTGGCGAATTAAAATTACGCCAAATAATTAGTAATGAGTACATTTCTGGAGAGCTTGAACGTTCACCGCTTTCGTCTTTTATCTTCATAAATTACTAGTTTTTAGCATGTGCAAAATTGACATCCTGTTTTTTATTGTTAAGGCGTAAGTTAGAGAAGAAACAAGAAGGGGAAGATGTCCCGAAGAAAGTACCTCACACACTCGAGTCTCTGCGCGAGAAAGATGAAACGATGCTCGCGAATGCTGATAATGAGGAGCAGGAAGAGGTTGGTGATTTTAAAGCTTAGTTTTCAGGTTGATGAAATAAGTTTATTTATGGAAATAAACTGATTTCCTCAACATGAAAACAAACTGTAGCAGTAGAACAAAATTTGTTTGTCAACATATCTGTAATGAAGTAAGAAATTCTTACCAAAATATGTTTTAATTAACATAAGTTATTTTCGCTTATCAAACAACTTGACTCAAGTAATAAAATTCATTTTAAAGGAGAGTCAAGTAATTGCATATATTAATTCATCCGAAGAACACGGTCTGATGTGACTGTACAGAGAAAAGATAAATGTGTCATCTCATTATTCGAACTAAGGCCTATTAGGTGTTTTCAGAATTTTTATATTTTTCTCATTTACTTTTGAAAATATAGAGCCAAACAACAGTCGATCTGACATTCACAGCGAAGAACAACAAACAAAATGTACAATTGTCTACAAATGAATAGATATTTATGTGTAAAACATTTTTTAAGGTTTTTTAATAGGTGCTTTTCTTATAAATAATTGTGTGTGTTGGTTATATAATTTTTATTATTTTGACTTGTGGTTATTACTCAACTTCACTTTTCAACTTGAGTGGTATTGTTTTTTAAGCAATATTATACCGCCTAGTTGTGTGACTAAAAAACAGCTATTGATGGCTTATTATTTATTTTTACTGTTTAGATTTCAGAGCTAAGTTTGTAAACAAGATATATACCTCTTTGTAACTTTCTATATTTAATGTCATGAAGATTTTATTATTTTTATGTTTTCCAAGTCAAGATCAAAATCGATGTAAATAAAGTAACATACTTAACGTTATTAACATCAAGGAAAACATCGACCAATATCACATTTTGTAGTTTTGTATTTTAACTTATTAATATGTAATTATTACAGGCAAAGAAAGACATAGAACTGGATGAACTGTCCTCATATTACGACAACTCGTACGAGCCTAAAGTTCTGATCACATACTCGGACAACCCTCATACTAAAACTAGGATATTTGGCAAAGAGCTCAATAGGATCATACCTAACTCTTTATCTAGGTATCGACAGAGGTGAGTCTGTAATTTGAATGCTACAAAACGAATAAGGCGATTGTCACACTGCACTGCGCCCCGCGGCGTCGCGCGGAGCTGCGTTTTTAGACTGAAGTACCTCAATTTGTATGGGAAACACGCGTCGTCGAACACACTGACAACGTTTCTCCGCGCGGGAACGCGGCACGCTGCGTTAGTACTGCGAACCGCAGGGTATGATTTTTAAGCTTAGGGACATGGTCGTTTTGTACAATAGATCTCGTCGATAAATTTATGTTTGCTATTGAAAATCGATCAAATTTATCTTCATATTTTCTTAAATCTTTGTAATGAAGTTTTAATTATCCATGTTCGTAAAAAGGGATGTAGGGGTGCTAGGACGACGTACCTCCACGTGAACGAGTGGCTTCCATTCCTATGCAATCCCAGGATTGTATAGGAAGGGAAAACATGAGCCGGTGCATCAGGATGCATCAGGCATTTACTAGGAGTTGCCCAGGGGCAACTCCTAGTAAATGCCTGGACTTTGTGCGGGCATTTGCCAGGCGTAGGCTAAAATGTCGTCACCCAATCCAATGGTGTTAGGTGTACCGTGCCTCTGGATGCGTGCCTGGGGGGAGCCCAGCCGCTAACGGTGCACCCTCGATTCCAGGGCACCTCGAGGGAACCTTATGCCCTTCAGCCGGCAAGCGGGGTTCTGCCGGTTGTGACCCCTTAATTCCCTAGCTGCTCGTGGGACATGTATGGAGAAAGAAAATGAAATAAGCGTTAACACCTTAATTTCCTCCTTGGAGGAAACGATCGCTGGGATGGATAGTCCACCCAGCAATAAAGACGTGACTTCGGTTACGGCTATGGATACGAACCAGGCGGGTTTTTCGGATCTCCTGGTGTCGGAATCCAGCGCTCAGCCGCGCATTCGACTGAGTGGGTCTCTCCATAAGAGACTACAGGGTCTGATGAGAACAGGTATGAGCTACGCAGAAGCTCTGCCTCTATCCGAAAAGCCCTGGAGTTAACTTCCGGTGCCTAAACCATCTCCAACACCGAACGCGCAAAAGCATGGACGGTCAGAGGAAGTGTCGCCATAGGAACACGTCAGGAAGGCTCCCAGGACCATGGCGTCGGCTGAAAGCAGGAACAGACCAACTTGCAGCGAAATGGCGGGCTCCCTGCGCGTGGGTATCCGGAATTCGGAACCCATGTCAGAGGAGCAAATGGAGCTGGTGGAGCTGTTTCTGGTCCGCACCATAGCGAGCACAACGACAGAAACCGTTGAGCTTCTAATGTTAACCCACTTTCCGGGGGCCTTGCGCGACTCGCTTACTAACTTAGTAATTACTGTGCATACGCCTCGCAACGAGGACTGGAACATTGCCGCCAACATTATTAGATCTCGAAAAGTGGCTTGGGCTATTAGCTCGTTTAAATTGTACAAATCCCCAGATGAGGACAGTATTACTCCCATCTTACTGCAGCAGGGTATAAGTGTACTCTTGCCATACCTGGTCAAAATATATAAAGCCAGTCTTGCTTGGGGACACATATCAATACAATGGACAACGTGCAAAGTTGTATTTATACCAAAAGTAGGCAGAAATTACTACTCTCTTGCAAAGTCCTTTAGACCCATCTGCCTAACCTCATTCTTGCTCAAAGCAATGGAGAAGGTACTTGACAATCACATTAGGGCTTCGTCCTTAATATATAGACCTATCCATCACACTCAACACGGCTATCAAAGTGGAAAATCCACAGAGGCAGCTCTGCTCCACCTTGTGGACAGGGCGGAAAGAGCGTTTGAGGACAAACAAATAGCACTATGTGCCTTTCTAGACATGGAGGGTGCTTTTGACAATACGCCCATTCGTACTCTATTCGTAAAGGGACTAACCTGCAAAGGTGTAGACACTTCTACTACGAGATGGGGGCAAAATATGCTCTTAAGCCGCAGAGCCAGTATCTCGTTACACGGGGACCGGCTTGTGGCGTCCACAGTAAGGGGTTGCCCGCAAGGTAGAGTAATTTCTCCTCTCCTTTGGACTCTTGCTGTGGATCAGCTCCTGTATAGGTTGGCCGAACTGAACATTGACGCCCAGGTATATGCGGATGACCTAGTGATCAGAGTTCGAGGGCACTGCCAAAGCACTATATCATCAGTGATGATATAGTGCTTTGGCAGTGCCCTCGAATGATGATGATTCATCACTTATGCAAGGAGCTCCTGACACCATTTCCGTGTGGTGTCAAGATAACGAATTATCTATTAATGCGGAAAAGACAACTATTGGTCCTTTCACTAGGAAGCGGAAACTAGACAAGCTAGTGGAACCGATTCTTGGTGGCAGGGCTGTGAGTTTTTCCGCAGAAGTTAAATATTTAGGGATAACCCTAGATCAAACCCTAACGTGGAACTGTCATATAGCTAACAAGGCCAAGATGGCCTTATGTATCTGTAGTCGTATGGCAGGACAGCGCTGGGGTCTTAAACCAAGATGACTCTCTGGTTATATAAGGCAATTGTGAGGCCCATAGTAACATATGCGTCTGTTGTTTGGAGTGGCAAAGTCAGTCAAACAACCACTATTGTCACATTGGGCAGTCTACATCGTGTCGCGTGCCTGCTAACAACGGGAGCCATGTCCACTACACCTGGAGCGGCCCTAAATGCATTGCTGAATCTGACTCCCCTGAATGTATTCATACAGAAGGAGGCCGGCAACAGCATGTATCCACCAGGTTAAGGACTAGATGGCTCTCCCAGACATTGAGATCGGCCCAGGACTCAATTCTGGAACATCCTGTTCTGAGAATGACTTCTGATGTAATGCTCCCCAAGCAAAATTTCAAGAAACTACCAGGTAGAATTTTCAACTAGGGAAGACTGGGAAACTAACAGTCTCACCTGGAAGGACGGTAGCCTCCTTTGGTATACCGATGGGTCCAAGATGGGACCCAACGTAGGCTGTGGTATACACGGCGTGAGACCCAGTCTCAGGTACAAGCTGAACATGGGACGTCATGCCTCTATCTTTCAGGCCGAAATGTACGCCATAATTGCTTGTGCGGATCTAAACCTGAAGAGAGGCTGCGTTAATTCGAGAATTCTGCCACGAGGCGGATGAAACTCCTATGCATCTCCTCACCCAATGCTGCCCTCTGATGGGCGTTCTCCTCACCCAATGCTGACCTCTGATGGGCGTGAGAAGCTCCATACTGGGTAGGCACAGGCCACACCCAGAGGCCATAAGGACTGTAGGAGGAGGACTGTAGGCCAGGAAAGTCCTTCAGTTCCTTAATGCTGTTGGTCTTGGCTCCGAGCTGTGATTAGTGGTGATCACAATAGATCATTTATGGTCGCAGTGATGAGGGGCCTCATAGGCCTCAAATGAAGCCACCTTAATAATAATAATAATAATAAAAAGGGATATATTCAATATTTTCGGTGTCTTTTTATTTGAGTAAACAACAACCAAATAGACAGTATAACTGCAGCGTCCTGAATGAGTTCTGTATTAATAACCGTTCTTGTCAAAGAAGGATCTCGGCTACATTTACAATCACTACGGCAATCAACTGCCAAGCGAGTACTTTAAGTGACGCGGGCCCGACCGCTGCCAGATGCACAGATCAAACCGCGCGTTGACGCAGATTTGCGTCTCCGCCACCATGCGCGTGGTTCCGGCGCGGTACAGTGTGATAATCGCCTAAGGCTAGTTCTAAAAATGGACGTATTTTGTAAGATGTATATCTCACAAAATACGCTTGCTTGCGTGTTATTAGTATGCTTCAGTGTTAAAACTGCACTCAGCTAGTGTGAATTATTGAAAATTTATTTGCTTAAAATATGGTGAACAAAGATGCTTAAAAGCTTAAAAGATGGACCACAGTAGAGAAATAGAGCTCATATTTTACCACAATACCGTATTTTGCACCATATTAATGCACAGTACCGTATTTTGACAATTGCTCAGCTCTCTATTTGGACTGTCAATATTTAATTTTATGTCAGTTTAATATCTTTCATTCAGGTCATCTGTTAAACGTATAGTCCAATCAGCAATCCGAGAAAACGTAACAGATGTAATAGTAATCAATGAAAACCAGAAGCAGCCCAATGGTTTCCTTCTGATACACCTGCCCAATGGACCTACTGCACACTTTAGACTTTCCAGCTGCAAGATCACGCCAGAGCTGAGGAAAGATTATAAGGAAATCACTAATCATAGACCTGAGGTAAAAATTATGGTTATAAGTGTGACCATGTTGAATTTTCGTTTTCTTGATTGAATAAAAACAATGGTGTGTTAAACTACGTCTTATGGTCGCAAGTGCGAGACGAACATTTTTATATAGCGAAAAAGTGCCGCGCTTGGACTTTAGTAAAGCAGTTCTGCGTCTATGTATATTATTTGTTTAATATAAGATTAACCAAATTCTTTTCACAAACCAAGTTTTTTTAGGTAATTTTGAACAACTTCAGCACCCGCCTAGGTCTCACTGTGGGCCGCATGTTAGGAGCACTGTTCCATTACGAGCCGCAATTCCGCGGCCGCCGTGCTGTTACCTTCCACAACCAGCGCGATTACATCTTCTTTCGACACCACAGGTAAAGACAAATCTGCTAAAGACTATCCAATAAAGGTGTATTCCCTCCCATAATTACTAGACTCGCGAATTTAATACTTCCTAGAAGTACGCAATCGATTTTAATATCCCAAATACCTACAGGTATGAGTTCACCTCAGATGGCAAACGAGCAAAGCTGTGCGAGCTGGGCCCGCGGTTCACACTCAAGCTTATCTCACTGCAGCAAGGTACCTTCGACTCGAAGCGCGGCGACTACGAGTGGATCATCGCCGGGAGAAGGCACCAGATGGAAACATCGAGAAGACGATTTTTCTTGTAGTTTTGGATTAAGATAAGACTAATTTTAATAAATATTATATCGAAACTTATTTTTCTTTTTCTTATTGCAAGTTGGTAAGATCCTGTTTGCGCTCGAGTTAATCAAACAGTGATATGGATTTCTAGTGCAAGCACACTTGTGCGGCCAGTATCTTGTGACCTTCGGGATGGCTGGGCGCCTGTGGCATCTGGCACTGAGTGCATATTCAAGACTTGCTACCTTTTCTAAATAATTGCTACCTTTGATATATTTTGAGAAATTTAAAAAGATAATTGACCAGCCATTCTGATATCAGGATAGCTGGTCGCGACTTCATCATCATCATCATCAGCATGAAGGGAGCAGATTTTCCAGAAGTATGTATTACCAATAATTGCTACTTTCACGACTTAAAAGCTTTTTAAAAAAATATGCGATTGAAAATTTTATTAAGTGCCTAATTAAATTAAAAATGCAATTGTTTTTACTGCTCTATTGCCATAATATAAAGGGTAGGCGTTGGCACTTCTTCCTGATATCAGAATAACTGGACAATTATTTTTTTTAATTTCTCATTTTGAAAAGGTAGCAATTCTTGAATAATAATAATAATGCACACACTCAACATAGCCCCGCACTAGGGAAACCCTGTGTCGCGGGTGCCATGGACACACACATAAAAAACCACAAATTACACCCAAACTCGGGAGAGAAATAAATGTAGGCCATACAAATATTTCTCCCGAATTTACTCAGTGCCAGACGCCACAGGCCACCAGCCATCCTGACGGTCACCAGTATCTTTACGAGAGAAGTGGAGAAAAGTATTTACATATAATCGATCCACTCACGTTATGTAGTGGAGACACGGGTACTAGGCAAAATTTTACTAGACCCACTAGTGGAACCAAGTGTCAACTCACATACTAAGGAATGTTCTCTACACTCTCTTGAAGCAATTTAAATATAACTTTAGCTTTGTTCTTTTTTTAAATCATCGACAGACCTCGAGCATCATCAATTGACACCGCAATAAATTTATTTTTAGTTGTAAATCTCGTCTATAGTTTCTAGCATCAAAATCTGAAAACGGTTTGGAAGAAACAATGTGCCGAAGTTTCTACTGCGGAAGCTACCGGAAATAGGAGATTCAGATATCGTCGCCTTACTTTCTTAAAGCACAAAGAATGAAATGCATCGCATATACAAAAGCAGGCTGATTTTACTCCACATTTCCTTCGTATTCACACACTGGCTTTTACTTATTATTAAAGTAATGCATCTCAAATTAACTCCCTTGATAAGAAACTTAGTGGAAAGTTTTGCAGTCTCCCGATTAATCACGATGTATTTGAAAAAGTAAAATATTTCGCATATTAAAATGCGTGAATTATTTCTTGAACAAATATGAATGTATAAATTGGGCAAAAGGTGGTTTTCTCCGCTCGTAACAAGAAAAGGTACAACCATGCGTACTTTATACAGCAGTTGTAACTTTTTTTCGTTCTGGGGGCAGTTTTGTCGTTGTAATTTGAAATAATGTCATACATTTTAGTTAAATCAAACGATAATTATAGTAGTTTGGTATTTTATTGTTGTATAATTTGCTATATTTACACTTGCGTACATAAAATAGTGACCAGTTATATGTATAGTGACCAGTTATAAGATGCCAGAAGCCTTCAATCCACCAAAAGTACCTGTAAAAGAAATCAGGTTAAAGCGACGATACTAATAGCAGAATCCAAATGGGAGACATTTCGTGACCTCAGTAAAAATTTATCATCAAGACTTTCAGCCCCGAAAGATGGTAAAAAAATAATATCATCATTAAATTACACTATATGTTAATTTTGTTACACAAGGATGCTGTTGACATTATTTACCTGGATTGTAATAAAAAGTACGCCAAAAAACTGTACATCTGAAACAAGATAATATGACTACTTAGTAACCTTAAAAACAAGAACATCATAATAAACTAAAGGTAGAAAGTAGATCAGACGTGTTTGGTAGGTCAACATGGTAAATTGGGTTCTCTCTGTTGAGGGAGTCCTGATAGGGTTTGTCATCATTTCAATACTATCTTATAAACGCAAAGCTTTGTGCAACATAAGAGATATACAAGCACTAAATGACAATGTTGACAGGGCGGTTTTTCTCGAACTCTATTCGGGAACAGTAAACAGAATTGTTAAGACATTTTTAATTAGTACATTACGTAATATCCTACTATTAAGTGGTAAAAAAAACCATATACCATTACTAGATCTGGAATTATATTTGATTTTATATGAGACTAACATGTGAGTCTTACCTATACTTGCACCTATAAAATGTGCTGGGCACCTGCATCGAAGAAATTATTAGCTGCTCTCGCGGACTGAAGACACTGGATCTCGTCATCATCATATCAGAATGGTAACTGGTTCTCATTTTAGCTCAACCACACTTCTAAAATCTGATTCATTTTAGTCTAGTTACTAGCTGAATGATTGATTAACTTATCTCGCTTGTTAATCACACATCATCGAAATTATACAGCTATCAGATAGACAGTTTTCAAACGGGCTCAATGCAAGCATATTCAAAATGTGGAGGTTTCCTTTGTTGATGAGTTGCTCTCACGGCCACAAACAACAAATGGCACCATCATTATACGGTCTTCTGAATGATAGCAATTTATATCAGCTCACCCAAGTATAGTCAGATTGCGAGTTGTGGTCATCTAATTTGACCAATAACTAGTTGCTATCACGACATGACCACACAAACGACGAATGGCACCACAATTATACGGTCTTCTGAATGACAGCAATTACTGGCTCATCCAAGCATATTTCAAGTGTGGGAGTCTTCTTTGTTTATGATCATTACTAGTTGCTCTTGGGCACTGAATACCCGACTCTTATCTACATTGCACGGTGATTCACGCTCCATACTAAGGCGGTCATAAATACGTAACTCCGAAATTATTATTATTTTTTTATTTTATTACGTTAAAATATGATTAGGTAAACGTAAATTAATAAAATTATACATTTAAAAAAATATTTGACAATATTTAGGTGTAAAAATGTCTCGCAGTAATTTTGTTTTTAGACGATGTATCTAAAACATTACTGCGACTTTTAATGGTAAAACTGTGTAAATAATGATTATTTGTATTAACAATAACCACAAATGAATAAATTAAAACAATAAAAATACATAAAAATAACATTATCATATAACATTTATCATAATAAAGTAATCTATAACATTAGCACCATGAATTAGAACTTTGTGAACGGAAGCAGGCATGTTATACCACGGATACTCGGCAACTAACTGCCGAGCCGTCTCTAAAGCGAACTCTTCGAAGTTCGTCTTATTAATATTATATCCCGAATTTAAACATTGAAGGATGATCCAGCAACGATCTAGGAGATCCTTCTTGATCCCAGTAATTTCAGCGGAAATTTCTGAATTCGAGAAAAACCGCCTGGCTGTATTACCATCGTTTGATGTTCCGCTTCCGCCACTTTTAGGCTTATCCACTATAAGCCCTAATCTTTCTCTAAATTGAGTCTGAACATATGATTTTTTTGCAGCAACAAGCATTTTGTCATTAGCGGACCTAGCTTGCCATTTCCTAACATCTAACTTGTACGCGACATGAACAAAATATTCAAAAAAACGTATTAACGCGTGAAGAGGTGATAAACCAAATTCATATTTACTCTCATCGACTTCCTTATTTAAACATTCGTCAATTTTGTTCATTTCACTGGGCAAGGCGTTACAAATAAAACATTTTGATGAAGAAACACCACTAAGTGCATTACACACTTTACCATCTACCATAGTAAGTTGCAAACAATGAGTAATGCGATATTCGCGATCTTCTTCCTTGAAAACAGTAGGCTGCAAGTTCCTTATTTTATCTTTAAAATGAGCTTCTTCCTCAACTGACACTGCAGTCGATTCCTTCAAATATCGGAGGCGTATAGGACGACAGTATCGAGTTGATGAAGGACGAGGATTTTTCCACAAAACTACTGAATTTTCTTTGTTATCTGTTGTCAAAACAAGCTGAAGTGGCACATACGAAGTAACAAACAGGCTACTGTCTTCAAGAGTGGAGTCAGAAAAACACTGTTTATATTCTGAATGCCCTGTACTGCCATCGAAACCCCATTTCCCTATCAAAGATATCTTATCTAGAGACTCATTAGGTACACTATCCAAAACATCTTTTTGAGACTTGAGAATCCGATTGGCAGTATGATCTAATAAACTTTGAAGTTCGACTTCGGCGGATGATTCTGTAACAGTAATATCTGAAGGATAACAGTGTTTTTTAGATTCCACGACACTTTGGTAAGATGGGAAAATGGTTTTTGAAAACTTATTGTCTATAAATTTCTTTACTAATATATATTGATGTCGAGTTAACTGAGCTTCAACAATGAGCGATAAAACTTCGCTAGAATCGATTTCAGGACAAGACAAGCTATCGGACGCATTGAGCAATGACTGTACAAGAGAAGGGTCTTGGTTAGACAAACTAGCCAATCTTCTGCTTTTTGTACGTTTACTGGTGTCGTCAAAGTTAATTCTCGGACGGCCATGCGATGAAGAAGTTGATGGTTTAACTTCGTCAAAGCTCTGAGATACACGTAACTCAGTTCGCTGTACATCAATATTTTCAACGACATGCAGCCAATCTGAATATTTTTCTAAGAATTTAGATCTAGTACGATTCGACTTTGCCCAGTAGTGGGAAATTCGTTTACAAATATTCTTAATTTTAAGGCTTAAAGTCTCTAAATCAATATTTTCGATGTCGTCAGAAAGGGATGATGTTTCGGTCAAAGTGCTCAGGACGTGTTGCATTTTTTCATTTGGATTACCCACTTTAGAGTGCCAAATATCAAAAATTGTCATCCTCGATACAGAACATTTGAAAAATGTACCTAAAACAATATGAAAGCTGAACTTAAAAAAAAATTAAAAATTCAATACTATGGACATGCATACTTTGACACCCCTTTAAGCCAAGAAGAGGCAGCAAGATGCAAATGAAACTTATAGCTCTTAATAAGGACATACTCCTTATTCAAAAACCATATACCTCAGGTGCAGCTCAGCGCAGCCAAAAGTTGTAGGTCTAAAGGAAATTAAGTTATGCCAAAAATTTTCACCAAAAAACTGCCTTCAATAAAAAAATTATATAAAAAAAAATATGCATAAAAAAAATTAAAAAAAATTGATAATAAAAGTACATACCATGCTCTTGGATCTCCATGCTTTCACAACACGTAAACACTTGATTTGGAATAGTGACACTCAAAAACAAAGTGATTAAGTTTCGATGACTCACACGTGGTGATAATTAGTCTCGCGATGCGCTCACTTCCGATGCACAAAAGTGAATGATAACGTGACCTAATTACATTGATATTTATAGTTTTTGGAAGCTTGTTAACTAGTTACTAACTTAGTGAGTTGATCTAACCGGGATAAGCCAATGATTTTTTTTGATTTATGGCCTATGGGGGAATCACAGTGCAGCTGCTCCCCCACATAATGAGCACACATCATTGTATGAACTCCATCTTGAAAAAGAAGGGGTTGTCTAAGTTGATGAGCAATTATTTGTTGTTTCTGCGAACGGACACACATCCGAATCTCATTATCTTCATAATCCGAATTTCATCATCATCGTAAAGGTATCTAAATGGTAGCTGATTTAAACCAACTCAACCATACACAGCACCAGTGTGGATGTCTTGCACACTGAAAACAAATTATTGAAATTAACATTTGTTATCTATATAGCTATTTATGTGATGTAACTAGGTTTAATCAGACGCATTACGTTGGTCAACATGGTTTAATGGGTTCACTCTGGTGAGGGAGACCTGAAGGTCTGGTCATCATTTTACATGGCTTAAGTTACTGAAGTTTGAGTATTAAAAAATATAATAACTCTGCCGCCGTTACTTGAAACGGCGTTTGTGACAAAAACTCAAAACCGAGAAATTAATGTTAAAAAAATTAATAATTTATCCACTTAGGAAAAAATAAAAATAGTGACAAATCGGCCCTTTATTTACTGATATTTGATCTTTTTGATTTGATGAAATTTTTTGAAAAAAACTAGCGGCGGCAGTTTTGTAAAGATCTGCCCCCGTAGCGTGGCTACGCATGATAATCGCGACGCGCCCGATAAAATTGAAATAAGCGCGTGCTATTGGCTATCTACTGATTGAGACAGCCAATAGCACGAGCTTATTTCAATTTTATCGCGCGCGTCGCGACTATCATGCGTGGCCATGCTACGGGGGCAGAAGTGTGATAAAATTTCGTTGCAAGTGGTTTCAGCAACCAAGTTATTTCCGTAATTTAAAAATATTTATTTAATGTAAATTATCTTTACTTACCTATAAAATTTTATGGACTTCCAAAACAACATAATATGCTCATTCCGTATGTATCTGTAAACAATGAAATTCTTTAGAATACAGATTCATATATTCTGCTGTCCCTTAGTTGTAATGTGTAAAAATCAGTTGGGATAGTTATGCTAACAGCATTATAATGTCAGATGTCCCTATCTTGGAATCATCATATTAAAGATTACATAGCACAGAATCTGAGTCACTTAACAACAATCAAAACTCAGTCTAGAACAAACAAGTACAAGTATTTATTAAACTTACCAGATAATAATGACGCAACTCAGCTGTTGACGAAGTAACTCTGAAAGAAAATAAAATTCTGTCAATTGTATTACAACAGAGTAATGTGCTGATATGATAGAGAAATATTGTCAGATAGGAGCGAAAGACATAAAATGTGTGTACATCAAAGCGTTCAGATGAACTATGTTATCATCATTGAAAATGAAATTGTATATGTAGTTATATATGTTTATTGACTTGCTACAAAAATACTAATCTCCAATGGTAACTACATATATATCATATTATTCAAATCAAAGCTACGTAGTAATTAGTTTAATAGAAATTAATGGTTGAAATATTAACCTATTAAATTTGAATGCATTACTTCATAATTCACTCATCGGGTTCACTGCTGCAATTAAACACCTATGTTAATGGTTTAGAAACACTGGTCGGCAAACTCACTAGTCAACAAAACCAAATAACAACAGTACAGATTTAAATTTTATCTTGGAGCCAATCCTTTTTCACTTGAACTACATTGCTACGTATATTGTTATGAACTTAGGGTATTTCTAAGCTGGCTGTTATTAATCTTCAGTAGACCCGTTCCAATTCGCATTCACACTGGTATTTTGTGGAAGAATCACACTAAAGAGGCCAAAAAGTCGCATGTGGCTCGCGAGTCGTGCTTTGCCGATCACTGGTTTAGTTAAGCAGTGTCATTCTATACCAGAATTATAGGATATCTTTTATGAAAATCGGTTGTCGGTATCCAACATTCGAACGAAGCTCATCTAATCAATTAAGACTTACAACATTATTTTAAAATATAAGGTAACAATTTGCAGTGGCAATTTGTCAATAACTTGAAGCTCAGCCTTGAGGAAATATATTACACGTCAATCTTGTAATATCTTTAAGTTTTAAAAAACTTCAACTCACCATGTTCTTGTTGTCTTAGAAGCCAATTTCTTTCAGCTATATTGTCTGAAACAATTGTAAAAGCTTACTAAGTAAAATAATAAACAAATAATGCTTATTAATAAAAGAATATTATCAGCATTGCTCTAAGGCATTTAGATGTGCATCAGAACTCTCAACTGGCGGCCCTATGCTACAATTTTAAATAACGTTAAAAAAGATGTTAAATGATATAAAGAATTTTGATGAAGTTAAAGCCAATAATGGTCCCTAAGCTGATTAGTATCGCCTGTTGGAGTCAACTGAAGGTTTTCAGTTGCACTGCGCTGTCATCATGTTAGTAATAGATGTATAAACCGACAAATTATTTATTTGACATAAGAGCGGTTGCACATGCCGACTTTTAACAGCGCATCTGCAGCGATTCAGTCAGCGCTAATAGTCTGTCTTTACAGACAGGCACATCTTAAGCAGGGATGTGGTATACTTGTCAACTTACGTATTAGGGTGTGCGCCGTGGCACTGCCATTGTCGTAGATAGGCGTGTCGCTTGTTAAGTCGCCGTGTGTAACCGTTTAACATCGTAAATATTCATTTCTGATATTAAATATTAAAATTCCACAAAATACAGAGTCGAAATCTAATTTGTCGCTTTTTAAAATTAAACGATAGAATGGGATATGACTTCAAATAGGAAAGGATGTTGTATTGAAAAACGAATAGGATTTTCTTAGGAGGGAATATTTTTATTACAAGAATATAAATATATTGGGAAAATTATATTAATCATAAAAAGATGTTACATTTAAAAAGGGTAATCAAAAATATAAAGGAAAATATAATATAATGAATGGGAGAAAATGGTTTTAATGAAATAGGCAAACCTTCATTTCAGGGATATATTCTATGATCCGAGCGCACTTGATTAGTTAGTTCAACCTGTAAAGAAATATATTTGTTTGTGAGATGGCAACTGTACATTTTATATTTTAAACGGGAAAAGTAGTAAGTGTCAGATAGAGCTAATATACATGCAAATCACAGTTATCTCAATGGTTAGCAATTTTCATCATTTCAAATTATAAAATGTTGCTTTTTTTTTAACTAAAAATCACAAGAGCAGAGTCTTGGCCCCATTGACAATGTATTTACGTGAATAAAAAAATGTAGTTTTTTTAAACTAAAAATCATTAAGAGCCTCTGCTCTTAGACTCTTCTTGGCCCCATTGACAACGTATTTACGCGAATAAAAGAAAAGAAAAACTAGCTGGCGTTAATCCACTAATGGTTCTTTAAATCTTTAAACAAAAATTTGCATCGTGACAACTTACTTACCATTTGCTGACTTTTTGTATTTCCCTTGCACAAAAATGCGGGGAATGTCAAGGCCCTCTCTAAAGTTGATAGTGCGGCGCTGGACATAAGTGTTCTTTATGATTTCAAACCCTGCTTTGAAGAATAACTGCTCTAGCTGCTCTTCACTGAAGTAATATGTCCTGTAACAAATTAATTAGTTTTTAACATGCATTGTATATACTACCTGACTGAACAATTAACAGTTACCTTCCTACAAGTTGGTTACTTTTGACTTCATGTAATAAACGAAAAAGAACATGGTGTTTTCTTATTTACTAAGTAATGGCATGATCAAGTCGTACGTCCGGTGGTAAGCGACATACCTGTCCATAATAGTTCAGAGCATTAAATCAGAAAGATCTGAGGGGGCTGCCAATGTGCCTTCCTGCAATATAAGTAGATAAGTCTCATGTGCTCATAATTTCACCAGCACCCTTAACCCTTCAAAACCAGAATGCAGTTATGCTCTCATTAGTGCTTGGCGGCAGAAGTAGGTAAGGTGGCAGTACTTCCCCAGACAACTCTTTTACAAGGCGCTCTACTGGTACAAATAGATTTGTTACAGTAGTAAAAAACCCATAAGTAGAAGCTTAAACTGGTGTCTCTAGTTTCATTATCATACAGATTGATTTATGATCACAATCTCAGTTTAGTCTTACGGTTTAATAATAAAAGAGGGAGGCAGCAGGTGAGAAAAGGACCACCATGACCATGGTAAAATAATAATAGTGAAAATAGTAACCATGTGACGTTACCTAGTGCCATCCTGTCTCATATAATAATTCTCTGCAATCTTGTGCCCCGGTTTGAATCGTAGCTGCGCCATGTCATATCGTCCGTAATCTCTAAACAGCAACATGCCTCCGGGCTTGAGCACGCGGAATGCAACGCTCGCGACATGTGCCCACGCTGACGGCGATATGGCCGATAGGACAAAGATCAGGCTTGCTAGATCCACGCTGCCTTCCTCCACGTTTTCAAACAAGTCGTCTGTAGTCAAATCAGCTCGAAACGCCTTCATCTTGTTCTCATCATACAGAGGGTTCGACTTTACGAACTCTATTGCACGTGGTGAAAAATCACACGCGTAAAAGTAAAAATTCGAAAATCCTTCTTCAACTAACGGGAACACCATGTTGCCGACGCCACAGCCGAGCTCTAAGAATACTAATTGCTGCTCTGGATCGAAGTTAATTAACTCTTGAAACTCACGTGTGGTCCAGTGCCGGTCTTTGAAGAATTTCGTTTCATTCCTTTTGTAGAAAAGATCCCAGTGCTTTTGCGCTTCTCGCTCAAGCTTCGTTGCTTTTGATGCAGGAATAATGCGGGAGTTCTGTGATTCAAGCTGTTGTTTCTCTTCTGCCGTAAGTTCTTTGATACGGTGCATGAAGACATCGCCGTTGTCAGCGCCCATATTTTCATCCACGTCCATCCCGATGATTTTAATAATTTTGTGTTACTTATTAATTTTCACGCAAAGCAATATAGATACTTTACAAAATACAACAATTATTTACAGCCCTTAATAAATTGGAAAAATATATTCTAATTCCGGAGCCGAGACCACGACGCCAATCGTTGATTGAACGGAAATCGGAAATGTAAATTTTTCTTGAGACTTCAAGTTGACAGTTCATAGCTTTTTTTTATTTATCGGCTTTGACAGACTGCAAATTAACCGCATAGACAGTTTGACATACGGGAACAAAAAGAGATGGAAAATCAAAGTTGTCATATTTACAAGCTAAGCTTATCTCTTTCTATAGTTTCAATTACAAAAGGAAAAATGCCAGAGGAAGTACGTTCCGTCGTAAGCAGAAGTAATAGATAATTTAATTTTTGTTTTCTGTTAGTAGTTCATAGATTCGTTTAGCAAATATTATTGATTCAGTTTACTATTTCTGAAAATTAAACTACGTCTTTCCTTGCATTTACTTGTTAAACTCTATATATAGGTCACGTTATCGTATAAAGTGTAATACCTATGGTTGTATTAAGAGATGTGATCACGAGGGTCAAACGGGCAATTTGCAAGTCATGCGGGACTCATTGCCATCTAATTAAGGACAAAAAAATTAAGGTATTTTTTAGTTGCAATTTCGAACTTGCTTATACCTTTGACTCTGTAGTGAGTTTGTCTACTTTTGTTCCACTAAATGTAAATACTCGTCTAACTTATGATTTTACAGAATAATAGGTTATACTTAAAATTAAATTCGAGCAGGTGTGCCTGTTTGCCTACCCCTTTATATTTCTGCTATACATCAAACACTACTTATATTGACTGGAATGCGTTATTTGAATCGATTATTAAACATTCACACTTACGTTGTTTAATGATTTTTCTGACGTCTCGCGTGATTTTTGTAATACTCGTAATGTCGTTTCAATGAAACCCAATGAAATCAACATATATATACTAGGTGGGCAAATCTGATTTTTTTCAAGCCGGGTCCCGTGCGCTTGTTTTGCCTTACACAATATACGAAGGCACCTACACTAAACATTAAGTATACATACGGAAAACACCCGCAGGATATCCTGGTAATTCTTTATAGGTGCCTAGTCAAATAAATAAATAAAATTAAAATAGCTATTTTTTTATTTACATTCTTTAATTATATAGGATAGCTATTTTAAAAGTAACTTTCGAGGATCTTCAGCAAAGTGGTTTATGACGTCTTCCGTGGAATAATCAACCATCGCGTTGACAAATTTACATACAAAGCACATTTAATCTGTCTTCGATCAATTTGGTCTTAGGCACGTTTTTACTCGTGTGAGTGTGCTGAATTACTTTTAATTTGAAGCAGTGGAATAATTAATTAATTAATGACTTAACGCATATTATATTGTAATGCAAAATGAGAACTTTTATCGACAACAGTAGATAATATGGAGGTATACAAAATCCAGGGGGTTCAGCTGCCCTCACCTGCCGTAGTACGTATTATGGTACCTACCCCTTGAGAAGTGCCGTCGAATATGTATAGGACTGTTATTGTAGTTTATGAAACTACAACGAAAGAGAGATCTACGCTAGTATTATGTTGGTAATATTTTTTTTTATTCAGTAACGAACAACTTGCATAAAGACGGGGAGATGCTGGTGTGCGGTAAAAGAATCAATTGAATCTGACTCACGTATATTTTATTTTTCAGTTTTACCGCGGTTGGTTTGATAAAACGTAAGCTACCTACTTTGATCCGGAAAAAATATTATCATGCACATAGTAGTTCTAAAACGCCAATGATAAAAATAAATAGTGTTGTTATAAAGCTTGCTTCTGTATCTAGAAATCGTGCAAATATTGACTTCTGGCGTCAAAATTAGATATTATTACATGATATAATACTGTAAGGCTTTTGAGCAGCTTACTACAGTGTGTGAATAAACTTTCTTAAACATTTCTCGTTAGCTGAAGATAGCTGCAAGGGTGCTGAAGAAACTTAAACAGGTTTTCACGTTAAGAGCGGCCTCGGCATGGCAACAGACACTGGTTCGAATCCAGACAGATCGAAGGAGGAATCATGGTAGTAAAACATCGTCATGTTGAATAAACAATAATCTCAGTACAGAGTTCCAAAAAACCGATCTCAAAAGTTCGTGGTATTATATCTAATTGCTAAGTTTTATTCGGTTATCGGACAGTGCGCGAAACCGGACTCATCCCCTAATTTGCCACCCTTAGAGGTGGTATATTTTCTTCAAATTTGAATGCGGACCGAGGCACTCTCTTTCCCACAAAAAAGAATCATCAAAATCGGTTTACAATCGGTTATCGCGTAACATGCTTATATATGAAAAAAAATACAGTCCAATTGAGAACTTTCTCCTTTTTTTTGAAGTCGGTTGGCTGAGGTCTCCGGGTTTTTAAGCATGGAAGCCACTGGCATAGCGTATAACAACAAAAAGTCGGATTTTTAATGTCTATTATCGTAACCTGTTTCTTGTTAACAATATTCAAAAAGACTTAAAATGCTGCACGTTAGGAAACGCCAGTATGGGTGCAGCTTTCTGGAGTTTGTAAACAATGAAATGATCGCCATCACGGCTGACAGCTGTCGGCCATCAACGCGTTTTTATTGCAGGCGATTTTAGTGTCGACATGTCGTTATCGAATGCTATTGACCGGAACATAAAGCTGTAACGAAAATGTTTAGATATGTTACAGATTAAGAGCATGGGCCTGATAGATGCATGTCAATGTGCGATAGATAACATACGATGTTTAGAAAAAGTACTTGAGGAGATTAGTATCACATATAAATATGACGCTTAATGTAAGTATTTCGACGTATACAGTCAAGAGCACATCAAGCTATATACATTTGTTCGATATGGCCTCTAGTGCAACGGAACAAAATCCGTCAATGTAAGCTACACGTTGATGGACGGATGTGATGCCGTCTGCACCTCCTGCCGGTACGTCACATGGCTACTTGTATTCGTTATTCGGTTTTTGATGTATTTGGAAAAATATTTGACGTACAGACAAACACGTCTACACATGGAGCCAAATAAGGAGTGAAAATAATGTGGACGGTTTACTTGTGTATGGTAAATATATTTTGCTCCTTTGGTGTGCGTTGAGAAAGCGACCAGCGCGCGGTAACGTGAGTTTGGTTTTTGCTGTGTTTGTCGAATAGGCAAACAAGGCAAAATTTTGTCACACATGCCAGCTACACGTGGTGATTGTTTGCCAAATACAAATGAAAATAGCAATGGGAAGTGCCACCACAGACATAATTATGTATATCGAGATATATATCTGTGAGCGCCACCTTTAAAAACTTATTGACAGAGCGCAACAGGCGCGACAGCGATATAAAGCGCGAGATCTCTTTGTGACAATAGCAGTATATCGCGCTTTATGTCGCTCTCGCGCAAGTCGCGTCCTATCGTGCTAGCCCTACAAGTGAAAGTAACAAGAACAAACTCGCGTTTATAAAATAGAATTATTTTATTTCAGGCACAAATTACTCATATAATTTGTTAGTAACAATTTTCACTTAAAATAGGTTAGTATACAAGAACACAACGACACAACATAACATAATGTTTATTTTATATATATAAAACAGATTTAATTTGCCCAACCCAGTATTTTGGAACCGGACAATCAAATCTGCCTGCAATCATTTTTAGGATGCTGTTGTAGCTACTTCTGACCAGTCATAAGCGATACTATTTTCTTCCGCATTATCTACTTGCGTTTCGGCGAACATGCCTGATGCACTGTACCATCTCAGTAGTCCCAACAGCGTCCTGAAAGCGTTATTATATTGAACGCGTATGGCGTATACTTAAGGCCGCTCGAGTAAAATGATTGGCTGTAGGCTTTGAATGAATGTTTATGAAAAGACTGCTGCGGGTAGGGGAAGTCAAACAATTTTGCAATTCTTTTGGCAGCAACCCCATATCATTCTACATAAGTTTTGTTTATTTTGCCCCTTTCTATCAACCTCTTGGTTATGCGGGAAGGGCACTATGACCTGTGCGAGCTTGTTCGCACCAGGGACCATCTAAGTCAGGTCCTAACCCCGGATCAGCACGTTTGCACGTACTTCCTCCAGATGCTACGCGGCCGCAGGGACTGGAAGCTTAGGAATCTTTGCTATCTCTATCTAAAGATTTTTGAAGCTTTCAGACGTTTTAGGTACACTTGCGATTGAAAATATGCAACAGGGCGCAAAACGTTATTTGCCACTTTGTTTATAGTAAGCGACGAAATTGTGTCGGTTGCTAGCTTAACAGCAGGCGCCCGTCTTGTTCGTCCCGCCACTTGATATTGTAAACAAAGAAAAGAAAGATAGTAGCATTAGAGCTCCTTGTGAACGCGCGGTTCGTCCAGTTCGTCGTTCGTCTACCACCTTACCTATTTCTGCCGCCAAGTAGTAATGTCAGCATTACTGTGTCGCGGTTTTTAAGGGTAAGGGTGCTGGTGAAATTACAGGCACGTGGGACTTGTCAACTTATGTGTCAGGGTGACGGGCGCAGTGGCAGTGCCCCTCAAATCTTTGCGATTTAAAGCTCTGAGTGGCACTGCAACTGTTATAGACAGGTGTGTATCTTGACTTGATATTATAAAAAGGAAAAATAAATAGCAATGTTTACGTTTGAAGAAAAATCGGCAATTATTTTCAATTAATTTATATTGTAAAAATATACGAAGTTTTACTAGTACGTCATAAATTTGAAATAAAATTAAAATATAAATTCAAATCAATTTCTTGTTAAAAGAAGTACAGTCGAACTGCCTCAGTGGCCAAACGGTTACCTTGTTGGACTGCCACGCAGAGATCTCGGGTTCGATTCCTGTGCCGGGAGAAATATTTGTGTGGCCTACATTTATTTCTCTCGTGAGTTTAGGTGTAATTTGTGGTTGTCTATTTGTGTGTCCATGGCACAGGGTTTCCCTAGTGCGGACTTTGATTGTGTGCGTTATTATTATTGCGAATATTAATTGCGCCAGTGTAGCACCAAATAAGCGATGTATAAAAATGTACTGAAGCGTTCTGAAGCAGTTCTATTATTATTATCATCTAACCA